AGCCCACAAAAGTGAGCAGTTCCCAGTGGCACCACTTGAAGGAGCGGACCCCACCAATACCCAAACTCCCATACCAACTCTTTGAATCAACCCCTCGTCGTTGCTGTAGCGCAGTGGATAGTGTTAGGTTGCTGCAGAATACAGTTGTTTCAGGAAATACCTAGAATTTGTCGAAATAGTAACATTCGGCACCGTGAAGTGGGAGATGAATGTTCCCTCGTTGTGCAACCCTCGCCATTTCTCATGCAGAGATTCGACATTCTTCTCAAGAAATTCGAGCAATTAAGCGCTGGTAGAATTAAACTCCCATGGTCGATAGTTTGGAACCATTCTACTTCGCAACTAAGTATATGTACATCGTGTGAGATACACTGAGATAGTACACGATAGCCACGCTGCATATTGAAAATCACCCGGCAAGGAATTCAAGACTGGACTGCCTCATCTCCTCCGAAAAGCATCATTTAGTTGGAGTGTGACAGAATCTGATTTGCAGAAAATCAAAGTGTGTGGTACAGCTTCGCTCCCGAATGTGGAGGGCATTTAGAATCAGTGAAACCATACTTCCTCCATAATAGGATACAAGCCAGTGCAAAAGCCCCACTCCCACTCTTCTGACTTTGCGACGCGGCACGACATGCTGCTGCAGCGATGTGGTGTTGGTTCTAGCAAATGTCAGAAGAGTGGGACTAGGGCCGCACAGCGCTCTGTTCACCTCATGTGCTACCTTCTACTATCAGCCCAATGCCAATTTTTCAGTTCGCGCCGTAAAGGCAACTACATGGGAACCCTCCATCTAATTTCCTTGGGGGCGGACCTCTTTTCGCATGAACCATGTTTTCCCTTCTTCAACTTCCAGCTTATCGAATCGGTTCCCTTTGAAGACAAAACTAATGCTCACGAAACAAAAAGGTTGGTAGCAGGTAGAGTAGAGGATGTTTATGAGGACAAAGGCGACGGTTTCGTGGGGGAAGCGCTCTATCAGCGACCTGATAAGGGGCTGAGTGTGCCCCAGAGGTCTCTCCGGTTCTCGCAGAGGCCCACCGCCGGTGCGTGGAAGGGATGACAACGACCATGAATACTGCTTCTCATAATGATACTTCCCTGGTGTCGGGAGAACAGCAGGTGGAAGTGTCGCAATGAGATCATTCACTGTGTTGCTAACAAACAACAAACTAAATATTTGGGCTGGAACTGATACCACCATCATTCGATTTTGTTTTCTCTATGCATTGTGGCATCTGTTTTCGCAAGCGATGTTAAACCTCGACCAGCTAAAGGCATGATGTTAGTGCCCTTATCTTACTCAACGGTGAAAGAGAAAAGAATGTCAAGAGTTGTACGTCTGTTGGATAAATAACCGCAGGAAACTCCTGCTCTTCTTTCACGATCTGCACCATGTGACCTCTAACCCTACTTTTCACATTTGAACTGTATGAGATTACTGCAAGGCACTGGTTTCAACAGCAGTCTTTTTCTTAGAGATGTGAAACGATGCTCAGATCGATTAGAAATCGACTCACACACCTTTAAAAATCACTCTTACAGTGGTAGTACAGAAACTGCTGAGCCATGTGAAAACTGCTGTGGCGTACGTAGATGGCATTCTAATAATTAGCATGTATTGGTGTCGTAATAGCATTTGTGCCCATTTGCCAATTGGCTTACCGAAAAACGCTCTTACTGCTGAGGGTCAAGAATGTATATAAGTAGTAGTGCTTGATGCTGATGATTGCGATTAAAGGGGTGATGCCACAGTGAAAGCGATGAACGACAGAATTGAAAGTGTGGGAACCGTGTTGTAGATTTCGAGATCTGCATCCCCAAACAGGGTCGAGTCCTATCGTTGTAACTTGCTGAAATTTCTACGACCCCGCCTCCCAACCACATACATGCGTCTCTATAGTACTAATTCTTACCACGTTCAACCACCAAACACCGCCCATTTTTTCCGCCAAAAAAGGCTGTCGAGCGGGGGGGGGCTCTGAAAATCTTCTACCTCACCATTCAACCATTTTTTACCCTAATACTCCCATCCTCCCTGTCTAGCGAAAAGTTATATTACGCACTGACGCAAATTTTTATCCTGCGCCCCTCCACTCGCACCCAGCCTACTACCCACGAAATTTTAGTTTCACCTCAATCCCACACGTGATTTCAAGCGACTAAAGTGGGTACGACCCCCCCTCCAAGCTAAACCAAGTACGACCCCCCCGTTGGTACTTGTATCCAACGTAGTTTGACCTGCTCCGAACTGCTCACCACGCGCATAGTTCTTAGATCAAATCTCGGCTCCTATGCCATTCAGATCAACCAAGCCTACCAATTCTCCGAGGCAGATTAATTTGTACCAGAATTGTAAAAAAAAACGCTAACTTGTTCAAGAGCTGAACCCCATCGCGTGGGCCACATCGCACTCAGCATGCCACCGCGTTTCTAATCAGAAGATGGGTGCGTGGCGCAGTATAAATTGGTAATGACCAGCGCTCTATCCAGTGAACATGGAGTTTGGTTGGGCATTCCTTGTAATCTTATCCTTAGCACTAGAGAGAATTTCTTTGGACTCTCTAACTTCAAGAATAAGATACATAATGCGTATACGACTCAGGTGAAATAAGGTCCGCTGGGTGTCCTTCCCATACATCCCACCCACATCCTATTCAATTTTTTGCAGCTGTTGACCCATCCTAGGCTCCCCTACCCTTAGTTAGGTCAAGGCAAATATCCATTGATTCAGAACCGTCTCCTTGAGCTATTACAAGCGGAATCGTAGAAGCACCCTAGGAGTACTTTCCTCATTACACTGGAACTTCGCAGGAATACACGCTCTCGTTCAGAAACCAGAAGCGCGTCGAGTGCAAACCTAATAGTGCAAGTGGCTTGGCATACTCGAAGTGTGTTTTCTGCCAATGAAATGATTAGCCTGTTGCAGTTGTATTCTATCAGTTGTCACTAATTACAACTATCATTTACCAACTATCAGCTATCACTATGAATCACTAGTTACCAGATTTACTTGGAGGCCGTCGTCACTTGTGGTGTGTGGTCTGCACTCGACGCGGTTCTGGTTTTCGGAAACAGAGCGCACTTCAAATGAGTCGATTAAATGTCTTAGCGCTTTGATTCTCATCTTTAGTATTGGAATGCGCGATAGAGTACCCCCTACCCCGAACATCGTTTTCCTCGCTTCGCTTTATCCTTTATCCTTTTCCAAATAACTGTAAGACCTTTAGTCAATGTAATTTATTGAGCAACTCTTACTATCTCACTCCTGCTCATATTTCACTATGGACCCTATGTATTCAAATATGAACGAGCAGCGCACAGCACAGGTGTAGCACAGTTTATTTGGCATTCAATGAACCCATGACCAGACAAAAATGAAAATAGATATACATTGCAGTGAGAGAATACTGATATAGATATAGAACTAATCATTTGTTGAACTTTTCTTTGCCAATATGTGTGGATAAGCGAGGCTGACGTAGGTGTGTTTCAGCGGATAGGATGATAGCGCCGTCAGAGGTTGCCTCAGAATTGGACGCTAGATACGTGATTATAATCTGCAAACGATATTTCATTTTGAATGCTCTTACGGTAATGGAGAGGAAGGCAGCGCACCCTTGAGGCGACTCGAAGCGTTTCTATCTTTCGTCATCTTTGGTTCTTCCGGTTCTGCAGGCAGAAGTGTTCGCAGATGCTCGAGCGCGTCATTGAGGCTGTTCATTCGACGGCGTTCGCGAGCATTCGCCTGGAAGCATCCCGTTCATTTTGAAGGGAAAAAGTTGTGAACGAAGATTGAAGGTGACCTACCTTATCCCTTCGGACCATACGTGCTCTCTCGATAGTGGCAGGACTACGCTTACGACAACGGTACTTCCGTTTTTCACGCCTCACCTGAAGCCATGAAATTTTAGCGCGAATAAACCGAAACTAGTGGCAAGGTATGGCCGATTGTTCGAGTCGTACTGCCTTGCGAACAAGGATCGGTGGCGGATAAGAGGCGATTCATATGGAGTGGGGTGCCGTGTTGTTGGGAAGATCCCTATGCTGATACCCAAAAATAACATTTCTTTGGGTGAAATTAGGATTAATCTAGGCATATGCGGTCATGACGGACTAATACAATTTCAATTCTAAATTGAATAGTAATTTACAAGTTCGCTAAGACAGGTGGTGAAACCAGTACATAACGAATGGCGACCTAACAAAGGTCGATTACAGAACCATACCTGTCCATCAGAATCCGCATACGAATAGTGAAAGGATGTCGGATAAGGCTGTTGCATGATGGAATACGTATGAGACTGTCAGCACTTCACGACGCGACCCAAGGAACCCCCGTGCAGCGGAGGCGGGGCCAGGTGACAGCGGGGCGGCGCTTGATTGGATTAAGCGCATTACCGTAATCAAGACATAGGATGAAGGCGCAGACAATGGTACAGGAGCGGATTGCGTCATCGGTTTCGAGGGTTCAAATAAATACTTAAAATGCTACACCTAGAATACAAAGATGCTAAAGTCAAGGAGACCGCAAGCAAATCTCCGTTTTGCAAGTCTCTCTGCCGTGGCCCACGTCCTGTTTAAAACTTCGTTTCAAGAATCGCAATACTTCACCTTAACTTACATATCCTCTTAGAAATAAATATATTACGCAACGATAGTGATTTTTGACGTTAAGTGAGACATCCCTATCAAGTTCGCCAAGCCCCGTCTACAGTTACCTGGAATCGAAAAATCACCCCTCGCGGCAACCACGGCTGCTGTCATTACCTGGACCAAGTGAAACAAGCTGATCTAAGGTTATTTCCGTGAAAAGTGTATCAAAATAGAGGAATAAATTTTTGATACACTTGCATATAATTAGAAATGTGCTTTTGGCGATGGATAATGCATGTGTTTGAATATTCGTACACTCCTGCAGAATAGATAATTTGTTAAGCATCAGGATTCCCGAGCTAATTACTGAGGTTAAGTAATTCTCAAATTCGATTCATTCAAAAAACTACTAATATTTATGAACTAGTTTACTCGCTTTACAGCGAAATTCTAGCGAGGGGGTTCCTTCTGACGACAACAGCTTTTCTTCTGGAGCGATTATTGTATACTAAAAGAATCTGCCTACCTGATGGTAAGGGCGACAGATGGGTATGAATCCATTCAATCCTAGCTCTAATTATAGCTGGTGAGAAGATCAACCTGAAGTTTAGTTAACGTTTGATGTACTGAAATCTTTTTATTTAATTCTTCGAAACTGATATCTCATATTCTCCATGTCCGCCTTTCTTGAAACCTGGGCATTTTGACCTTGAACAGTTGATGCCAGAACGAGAAGCGACTACGCTGGTGAAGTTGTGGTAAGTGGACCATTCATGAAGTTCCCACTTCTTGATTCATTAGCCTGGGTGACGCTTGGTCAAATGCGGATCCATATTGAGCGGATAGGTAACATTTTAAATGTTTCAAACGCTTTCAGGCCTTTGAGAACGACGAGTTAGTCGAAACGTCAGGCTCAATAAAGATTCCACCGTATAAAACCTGTGTGGCACGAGAACAATAATCAAGTGTTTAACCCATTCGTGACAATGGCAGCCACCGGTGGCTGACAAAGATCTCACTCGGGACAATGGTATCCACCGGTGGCTGCCGGGCTTTCAAATGGAATTTGGAAAGTTTTCTTCCATGAAAAGAATCTTCATACCCTCATTCATCTACGCCAGCCCTGGGCAGAGGAAATCTCCATCCACTCAAATTTTATTGAAGAAAAATCTCCTGACGCTGCTGCTATCCGGCGCTGGTCCGAATGGGCAGACTGAATGAGTTATTATCTCATATTTTCTGTTTCATGTTCTTCAGATTAGAGGTAGGTCACCTACTGGGGGTGATCGTGTTAAATCCAAACCAGAATTACTCTAACATTGCATCTTCCGGTACTGCTCTTTTCCAATGTCACTGAATTTATGTATAGTATTGTATTCTATTGTAATAGTACTGTATAATATAGCCCTAAAAGATATTTACAGGGTGAAAAAAGTGTTACTGGGTAGCATTTTCAGAGAAATTTGGAGTCTTCCGATAAAAAAAATCTTTCGAGCTGTGATCTGTTTTGCATACATTGTTTGCCACATGTGATTTTTGATGGGTGAAGAAGCAAGACATTCCTTGAGTTTCCCATTTCCTTTGTAAGTAGTAATAACTTCGCTTGTGGAGGGCGGCACTCTCGACACGAAGGCAAATATGACACTAATTGAATCTACTCGCCTTCTGCCTTCATCAGCTGCCGAATTCTCAATATTTTTCCAAATTCCTACAAGAAAATCCCAACCTCCAGCACCTATTAAATTGTTTGCATCCTTAATTAACTCAAACTTCAAATAATTCTTTCACGCTAACAACTTTTGAAAATTTTATTTAATAAATACTACAATAATGTAAGTCAAATTCTTTATACCTCTCCTCCCTTACTGATGAGCACAGGGAGAGGATACTCTTTCGTTTAGTCTCCGTCTAAGGGCACGTGCGAAACGGAGACTAAACTACTCTTTGAGTCCCACCCCCTAAATAAATTTTGAATAAAACATATAAAAATATTGAGATCGAAAAACAAAAACAAAAACAGTTTAATTTTACAAATAGAAAAGTTTAATCATATATAAAGCCATTAATTTTATTGTATTCTCTAGCGTCCATTGCTGTTACGTAAAATACCCTACAGTATAAGTTTTTCTCTCAGACCTATACAATTATGGACTTCTTGTAACTTTGTTTTTAAGGTCTATACGAAGTTATTACGGATCAGGAGCCTTATCAGCACTGTTCCGGTAGACTGGGTGCAGTTGGCTATTTCGTATAGTTTAATCTGCTGCTGATCTCTCGAATCCCATCTGGCATCCCATTCGAGACCTCCATAAACGGTCCCCACGCACTTTGATTTACATGACCCATTCTCGCGCCCCATTGAGCACATCGTCGTCGTCAACGAGTCGTTCGTTGGGTATTCGAATTGAAGTGGTGGACGAGTTTGCACGAATTTTCAATCACTTTCACTTCACTCAGGTTCCGTTCTTATTCAATGGTAGTGTTCCTACTCATTCCAGCGCTGATCCTATTAGTGCAGTGTTTAGTGAGCAGCAGTTAATTCGCACTAATCTCCGACCACAGTACACCTGCTCGGCGATGGCACTGTAACTCGACGCGCTACGGTCAATCGTCTCTTATGTAATGCGTGTGTTCATTGGGCAATGTGCACCATTATTTAGCTCAGATTGAAGGCAATTCAGAGCATTACCTAATGACTCGTCACTAATTGGACGATGAGGCGTTTTTCGCAAGAATTGTCAGATTTCCTAATGACAAATCTCTGCGAATGCTCCAGCGGGCACGGCTCCAGGGAACAGTGGAGTTTCGAAGATCAGCGCCTCCATCTTTTGAGATATTCTTGAGTTTAGGTGCGAATAAATTGGATCATGTCTGATCGGAACATACAAGTACTTTCCAAAGAACGTGACTAACCACATAATCTGGTGATAGTGAATTCCGCTGCAACAGAAACGCCAACCAAAAAATAGGACGCTATCGCAGGATACGGGGGCATTCTCTAGGACTAACCATAAGTCTAACAGTCAGGGCATGAGTTTTGTGGGAAACAAGATTTGCTAACCACTCTGGAGTTTCTTCTCATTCACCTAAGCTTTGTTCGTTCTTTAAAAAAGGACTTCAAAAAAGACCTCTCCCACCAGAATTGAACGCATTGCCACAGGGATGTCCCCATATTTTGCGATAGCGCAAAAATAATTCCGAAATAAGGACTGATGTCCCATATCTTGCAATAGCGCCAAAAATAGTTCGAGAAGGAGGATTGATGTTCGCAACAGCATTTGTCCCTTTTCCTCTCCCTCTCTATCGTTCTCTGGAGATTCGAAGAGAAAAATCGGCAATTTCAGCTGGAAAAATGTAAGCGCACCAATTGTAAGATAGGTTGGTGATCTGACAGACGGCTGTCATGTTATTGACAAAGATTAAACACGACCAGAAGGCACTTCCCGCTTGAGATTACCCTTGTGTTATTTGAGGTAATCTTTTGAAGACTCTGCTAGCCTGAATCGCACAGGTTAGCCGTAAGTGAATACGATGGGTACGGTAGCGATGACGGTCCTCGTGAGTGAACAGGACTCCATTCCACTTCACCTTCCAAAATGAGGAGCTCAGCCATTTAGTTCGAAGAACCAGTGCTTTTTAGCCTTCAACACGAAGGACCTAGTTAACCATAACCTTAAACGCCTTTCTGGTAGAATTAATCCACCATCGG